TTGACGACATTCCCCATCTTCCCCTCTTCTTCGTCTAACCCCCATCTCCTTCGTCTGTGTATGGTTGGGGCCGGCGCAGTCTTCCTGTGTGAAGCACCAGACCCCTTCACACCATGGAATGATGATGATGATGTATGTTCGGTACTGCATTGCAATATTGATTGTTCGGATCACTGGTATCTAAGTCTTCTGCTACGCTATCTTGTACTTTGTATTGAGAGGTCGGTTCTTGTTCTGGTCTGCACCGTTACAGTATGCAACAGTTTGGTATCGGAGCGGACCTCTCATTCCGAGGACCCGCTCAATCAAGTAGCCAGCTTGCTTGATCTAGTGATCACTCATTAGTAAATCAAGTACGACTTCGTCAAATCTCTGAAAATTTTTTTCTTTCGCAACAACTATCTGAAAATTTCTGATATTCGCATTTCGTTTTACCTGAAAATTTCTGATATTGGTATTTCGTTTTCACGTAACAAATATCTGAAAATTTCTGATAAAATCAGATAAATCACATTTCGTTTTGTCTGAAAATTCCTGATAGTAGCATTTCGTTTCTCTGATATTTCGCATACATAGCTGAAAATTTCTGATGTTAGTATTTAGTTTTCTAGGCATATTGAGATAACGATAGAAGTGGTCATATTCTCGGAAGCCGGATTTATTCCTTTCTGAAAATCGAATTTCCGTTCTATCTCGCAAATTTTTTTTTGAAAACCGAAATCTTGCGGAGCCTACCAACATTTCGTTAGGCATATTCGGAGATTGCCATATTCTCAGAAACTGGATTCGTTCTTTTCTGAAAATCGCATCTTTACTCCATTTCGCAATTTTTTTTTTCAAGATCGCATTTTTGTGAAAGCCGAAACTTTGCGGAACTTAGCCTAGATCTCGATCATAGTACTCTTCTGACATGTCTCACTCATAATAGATAGACAGATATACAAAAAAAAAAAAAAAAAAGGAAGTAGTCCTCTTTTATTTTTTTTATTTTTATCTGTTGATTAGGGCCGGAGGAAAGTATTGTTGGGTTGGTTGCCTACCTACGTTTTCCCTCCCACCCACTCCTTTGCATGCATTTCCGAGTTGGTACAATGCCACGTCAGCAGTGCCACGTCAGCCACAGTGCCACGTCAGCCACAGTGCGACGTCAGCCACAGTGCCACGTCAGCAGTGCCACGTCAGCCACAGTGCCACGTCAGCCACAGTGCCACGTCAGCAGTGCCACGTCAGCCACAGTGCCACATCAGCAGTGCCACGTCAGCAACAGTGCCACGTCAGCAGTGCCCCGGCACAATGACGGGCGCAGCTCTGGGCATGCCAGGCCAACTGGCCAACGAGTCTATTGCCGACTACAAGCAGCGGTTCCAGACTCAGCTCGCAATGATCGAGGCAGAGGAACAGTGCCAGCATGCAGCCGAGACTGCCCGCCTACAGGTTGAAGCAGCGGCAACAGCTGAGAAGCAGCGGCTACAGGCCGAAGCAGACGCAGAAACCCAGGCACGCCACAAGGAAGCCCAGGTTTTGCTGCAGCGGCATGAAACCGCCAGCATCGAAAGACTCAAGTTCTGGCACTTCGAACCGTCCAACGGCGACGACGCGACACAGGAGGAGCAGCATAAGGATTTTCTCTCCAAACTCATGACCCGGTTGCTGTACGCTTGCAACTACCAACAGTCCGAGTTAGATATACAAAACCAGGAACTGCAGCAACAGTACCAGGATCTGAAGACACAACACCAGGAGTTGGCGAACCTCCGCCGGATAGTGTAGAGCCACGAGGATGCTACACATGCACTCAATTCCCGTGTACTGGACCTGGAGCAAGTTGTACCAGGACCAGATGCTGGTGAGTCCAGCAGTGCACCCTCTAACCGCCAACTGGAGCAACGCATCGACCACGTCGTCGCAATGCTCGGCGATATCAGCACCTTCGCTGCGCCGACCACCATCAGCAATCAGCTGGATACTTTGAAGACCGAGGTCCAGCAACTGCAGTCGACGAACACGGATGGCAACAATCCAAAGCAATACAAGATGCCAACTTTTCAACTTGAGAAGTTCGACGACTACACGCATCGGGACCCGGTGCTCTGGTGGGAAGCTTTCACGACGCAACTTCGGATTCTGCCTGTCGCTAAGCACTCGTACATCGGCGCCCTGTTCATGAACTCAAAGGGCGGATGCCAGATCTGGTTAACCCACCTGGCAGCCACCCACGACGTCGACGTCGCAGATCTGAAGGACAAGATCACATGGGAAGAGTTAACACGACTATAGAAGAAGCGGTTCATCGTCGACCACGCACCTGCACTCGCCATCAACCGTCTCTTCGCCATGACGCAAGGCAACACAGCAACACGTGACTGGCTCACGGAATGGCAGAAGATCGCGGCAACACTCGGCCTGGACTTACCATTTCCGCATCTGCGCCGCGAGTTTTATAACAGGTCATGTGCTGCATTGAGACTCGCACTTGGTGATCGCGAGCAGTATGCAACTTTCGTCGAGATTATTGACAAGGCGAGAGAGATCATCAAGACCAACAGGGCGGCTGCACACGAGAGGTCAACGTGGCAGCCAACCTATGTGGAGAAGGTGAGAACTGGTCCGCGACAGCAGCAGTTCGCTGCAGTCCAATCGGACAACATTGTGGAAGACTCGGCATCCACCCAAGCGTCACGTGAGGGACATCAGGTGGCTGCTGTCCAGCCGCGAAGCAACAACAAGTCCCAAGTAAATGGGAAGGCGAAATCAGCATCGCAGGCTGGAAACGGACAGCCAGCACCACCATGGGTCAAGTTCAACTTGACAGAGGCCGAGTACAAGTACCGTGGCCGTTACGACTGCTGTTACTGGTGCAACAACACCAAGCACAAGACCTCCGTTTGCCAAGATCAGGCCAAGGAGGATGTGCGCCTCGTCTTAACTCGGGAAACTGAGTTTCGCGGGAGGTGAGGCGACTCCACCTCCTACACATCTCGGGAGGATGCAAATGTCGTAAGTTATCGGTATGCTTACGAGGACTATAGTGTCCACTTGGTCCCACCGTTGGACCAACCACTCCACGTGCAACAATCTACCGCATGCACGGTTTCATCACCATCGGCAACCGATTCGGCAGCTTCGCCGCCATCTACCACCGGGGATTCAACGTCATGGTCAAGACTTGAAGAGCTCGACCCGTTGACATTTGCGGACTTCCAATGGATGTCCCTTCCCCGGTCCGATCGATTGCCGAAACCGCATTGCAACGTGCTCAAGGCACAATTGCGGGATTACTTGCACACTCCAGTACCGGCTCCGTTGATGGACGCCGGAGTAGAGGTTGTCGACCTTCACGCCTACATTGCAAAGATCGACCGCGAGTTCAAGACGCAACGGTACGACGACATCGACGCACCATTGCTATATATACGCATTCAGATCGGAGAGGCGACCTGCAGCGCTTAGATCGATTGCGGAGCATCTCGCAACTACATGAGTCAGGACTTAATGGTATGCGCCGACCTTGGCCCACGAGTCCGAAGGAAGTCCCAACCCACGCAAGTCACATTGTCGGATGGTCACTCACACAAGTCAATCGACCGGTGCATTGACACGTCCCAGTGTACTTTGCCCCTCACGCAAGTGAGGCGGTGTCCTTTGACATTCTGGACACCAAATTCGACATGATCTTGGGCATGTCATGGCTGCGAAGCGAGGACCACCCAGTGAACTTCTACCGCCGCACCGTTCACGTTCATGATCGGAACGGAATACTAGTCCAATGGCTCCTCCTCACCCTTCTTTCAGCTGCCACGTGGTGTCCGCCGCAAGCATGCGAGCATCCATCATCAGAGACGACATCGAGGAGATGGGGGGGTGTTTTCTCCACTCCCTCTCGCCCCATGACGCTTCATCGACGGACTCATCTTCGGACCCACGCATCACCAAGTTTCTCGATGCCTACAGCGACGTGTTCGAAGGCCCGCACGGAGTAGTACCGGATCGACCCATCTGCCACGAGATCATCCTCGAGGACGGGGGCGTACCTCCGCGCGGTTGCATCTACTGAATGAGCGAGGAAGAGTTAAGTGTGTTTCGGGCACAACTCGACGGCCTTCTGGAGAAAGGCTGGATTCGGCCTAGCTCATCGCCATATGGTGCTCTTGTTCTCTTCATCCGGAAGAAGAACAAGGATTTGCGGTTGGGCATCGATTATCGCAAGCTCAATGCACAAACGATCAAAAACGCCGGCCCTCTCCCACGCATCGACGACCTTCTCGAGCGACTGGGCGGCGCCAAGTTCTTCTCCAAGCTCGATCTCAAGTCAGGATATCACCAACTCGAGATTCGGCAGGAGGACTGCTACAAAACCGCGTTTAAGACGCGATATGGGCATTTCGAATGACTGGTTATGCCATTTGGCCTTACGAATGCCCCGACCACTTTCCAAGCGGCTATGACAACGGAGTTCCGACACATGCTGGATCTATACGTACTTATCTACCTCGACGACATCCTGGTGTACAACCGGAGTTTGGACGAGCATGTGGAACACCTGTGCACCGTTTTGGAGCGGCTACGACAAGCCAAGTACAAAGCCAACCGCGACAAGTGCATATTCACGCGGCAAGAGCTGGAGTACTTGGGGCATTATGTGATGCCGCAAGGCATCTGTCCGCTTGTGGACAAGATCGAGGCCCTACAAGTATGGCCCGAGCCCACCAACACCACGAACGTTCGCTCATTCATGGGATTGGCGGGCTACTATCAGCTATTCATCACCGGATACTCGAGGATTGCTACACCTATGGTGAGATTACAATCGCCAAAGGTGCCATTCGTATTCGATGACGACGCACGCCAGTCATTCCAAGCACTTAAGACGGCTATGCTCATGGTACCCGTCCTTAGCATGTATGACCCCACCCTGCCGACGCGAGTGACTATGGTTGCTTCCGGCTATGGCATTGGGGCAGTCTTGGAACAGCACGACGGCGACGACAGGCACCCTGTGGAGTATTTCAGCCACAAAGTGCCTCCCATCAACTCGCTTGATGATGCAAGGAAGAAGGAGCTGCTCGCATTCATCATGGCTCTCAAGCGATGGCGGCACTTCCTCCTTGGGCGTCGTAGGTTCACATGGGTTACAGACAACAATCCATTGACCTACTACAAGACGCAGGATACGGTGAGCAGCACGATCGGGCGATGGATGTACTTCATCGACCAATTTGACTTCACACCGAAACATCTTTCCCGGCCTCTCCAATCGCGCAGCAGATGCACTCTCGCGAAGACCTGATCTTTGCGCTATGACACATCATGCCTTCGCATTCGACGAGGAACTCCAGTGACACTTCGTCAGGGGCTATGAGTATGATCCAGACTTCGCCACGCTATATGTGCAGCTATCTTCGGATCACCCGCCGGCCAGCCACTATCGCATCGTCGATGGGTACTTGCTCCTGCACTCGTGGGGCAAGGACTTACTATGTGTCCCACGCGACCGCCGTCTTCAGACTTGCCTCCTCGGCGAGTATCATGATTCGCGACTCGCCGGCCATTTCGGAGTCAACCGCACTATTGCACGGCTTCAACAGCGATTCCGATGGCCTGACCTCATCACCGACATCACGAGGTATTGCGACTCTTGCGAAGTTTGTCGACGAAGCAAACCCCGCAACCGCAACCCCTACGGCGAGCTGCGCCCGATGCCGATCCCGCAGGAACCCGGTCTCTCCATTGCCATGGATGTCACCGGACCATTCCCCCGCGACCGCCTCAGACACGACGGCATCCTCACGGTTGTGGACCGGTTGAGTAAGTATGCGCGTTTTCTCTCTTGCAAGTACTACTCCACGGCCCCCGAGCTGGCATGCCTTTTGCACACCGGTTGGATTTGTGGCCACGGTGTACCGAAAGACATAGTCAACGACCGCGACACTCGTTTCATGTCGGCATTTTGGACTGCTCTCAATCAGGAGTCCGACACGAAGATGAAACCAAGTTCGGCTCGGCATCCACAGACGGACGGGCAAACAGAGCGGGCACATCAAACCGCTCAAATGATGCTTCGTACGCTCATCCGTCCGGACCAGAAAGATTAGGTTGACCGCCTCCCCGACATCGAGTTCGCACAACACTTCAGTGCACCCGGCGATCGGCGTGACTCCATTCGATTTGCATCACGGTGGACGGAAAGACCGTATCTTCGCCGACCTTCTCCTCCCACGAGCAGTTGACATTGACGCCCCTTGCTCTCCCGCTTCCGTTCGGAAGTACAGGGAATTGCTGGCTGAGGCCCGAGCGAACATGCAAAAGGCTCAGATCCGCATGTCACAACAGGCCAACAGGCGTCGCGTGCCATGTCCCATCCGCGCCGGTGATCTGGTTTGGGTCTCCGCGGAAGAGTTTGCACTGGAACAGGATGTTTCACGCAAACTGCTTCCCAAGTGGTTTGGACCATGGCCTGTCACAGCAGCCGTGGGCGATGAGCCCGATGGCCCTTCGTTTGTGATCAACATCCCGACGCATCTGACGGTCCATCCAGTCTTTCACGCCTCGAAGTTGGCAACATATACACCAGCTAAGAGCGACGACTTCCCAGGCCGACGATCGCAGGATCCTCCATCTATGGATGGTCATCAGCAAGTTGACCGCGTCATCACGGATCGCAAGTACGGCAACAAGCAGCGCCAGTACAAAGTTACACTTAGAGCATGCGATCCCGACGACACTCGGTGGATTTCAGGAACAAATTTAAAAGCATCCGCTCCGCTGATCTACGCTCACTATGAGCGACAGAGGTTAGCTCAGGGATCCTCACAACCTGCCCCTCCCACCCGGACTGTGGTCCCTCCCTCAGACAGACAGCTTCGCCCTCGCACTGCTCGCAGGTAAGCTCGGTTCTTCAAGGAGGGGGGGGTGTGGCATACTGCGTAGCCACACGGGCCCTGCAGGGCCCGTCCCGCACTTTCAGCCTAAAAGCCTAAGAAATAGGGCTTACAGGCCCCGGTCGTTTCAGCCTGAAACTGAAAAACGAGGGCATGCAGGCCCTATTCCGTTTTCAGCCTATTTCTGGGTCTTTCAGGCCCAGAGGCTTTTCAGCCTGAAACGGAGGGCCATTTTGAGGCCCTCATAGTGTTCGACCTACCTAAGACTCAGGCACAAAAACAGGGTTTCGGGAACAGGCTGTTTCTGGCTTGTTCCCCACGACAGCTGGAGCAGGAGCTGCAGTGGCAGCCCCTGCCTCCCTGCGACATTGGCAAGAGCAGCCTCCTGGACTGCCTCGCCCTGTAGTCAGGAGGCAGGCCGTGTAGTACATAGGAAGTCCCATGCACTTCACGGGTAGGTAGTTGGATAGTAGGCACGAGTAGTTCCGGGATTCAGCGCAGCACTCAGGAGGAGCGCTGCAGGGAGTAGCTTAGCGCTAGCAGTAGTCTTCAGCGCTGGGCGCTAGTAGCCATAGCAGTAGTCTTCA